TACGACAGAGTAAAAATAAAGATACTGTTTTTTTGTCACTCCTACGTCGCAATGTGTCGCTCTCACAGTTTGCCCAATGCTTCAACTGTGACATGTCCGTTGCTTTCTCAAAATATGTTCGGTTAAAGGAAACTATGGAATTTATTGTCTGTACACGAGGCTTGTTACAAATGTTTCTTGAAAATGGAAAAAAATCATTCAAAAAACGAACTCACGCTCGTGCTACCTTAAGCACGAAAGCCGTTACTGATTCAAACATTTGTAACTATAGTGTATATATTTGTTACTATAGCAGATAATTTAAATCAGGGACGGGCACATTTTTAGCCCACAAAGTTAGCTAGATGGGAACGAGGGCTTGATGGGGGGAATATCAGTTTACGGAGGGAAGGGCAAAAGAAGTTGCGAAAAAAATCAATTATATTCCTCCGTAACTTTATGTTCATCGCAGAATGGTTGCTTCAACATAGATAAATTGATCAGAGTCTCTTTTCCTGTTCTCTCACTTGTCAGCAGGCAGCGGACCCTGGTCTTTTTTCTGAACTGGCAACAAAACACAATCAGAGTCCCGTCAACCAGCAGTTAGTGAAAAGGGCGGGATGCCAGAAGAGCAGCACTAAAACGAACTGCCAAAATTAGTGCGTTGTTGAAGTTTTGTAAAATTAGAAGTCAGTAGTTTGTAAAATTATTTATATTGTATATATGGATGATATGGGCTTACTGGGGAACCGAGCACCCAAAAATAATATCGGTAACGCGCTATTTGTATAACTCAGTGGTAAGTGGTAATGTGGAAATGGCAAATACCCCAAATATCACTACTTTTAAGAAAGATATAAGCCAACAGATATGAGACAAATTCAAAGACTGAAGAGTATTCGAGTAATATTAATATTTTTCATTGTTATTCAAATTATTACATTGTGAGTGTACAACTCTTTATCTTTTATAATAAATTTTGTGAAATTTTTTTTCTGAATCTTTTAAAAAACAGCGAGGATCGTTTTGCCGTTGTGATTGCAGCGTTCTGGCAGCTTGAAGCTAGTATTTTAGGAGAACTTCCGATGGAAGACTCACTCACCCATCTTTCGCCTGCGCTTTGAAAAATTCCCTATGCTTACCATATATGAGTTATATAATATATATTATCGTTCAGTTTGCAGTATAAAAATCAAGAATTAATTAATAAAACACATAAAATTTTGTACTAATAATTTCTTTGAAGTATGCCACCTTATAACCAAAAATTGTCCAAATCGAATCAAAACTGTTCAAGCCAGTGAGTACCGATCCTGACAATAGTAAGTCTGTATATCAAAAATGCCAATGATTTTCGTCGGGCAGGGTATGTATGTATGTATATGTGTATATAGGTAAACTTCCATAACTCGAACGTTGAATTGGCAATAGAAGTCAAATTTTTTATAAATTTCGTTTCATAACTCGAAGTTCCTCAAACTCGAAGTCCCTCAAACTCGAAGTCCCTCAAACTCGAAGTTTGTTTGATGATTAAGCGGATTCAAATTAGCTAAGTTTAACTGTGTATATAATTGCTTGAATTCCGATCCTCTTTTTCTAAATGTATTTCCCTAGCTTGGATTCCTGATAGTTGCAAGAGTATAAAATGTTCGGTTGCACCCGAACTTAGTGCTCCCTTATATGTTTTTTTTTTTTCATTTCAAAATTGAAAACATTACTTCCATCCTATATTACAAATTTAATCACAATTATTTTTACGTAAGTAATGTAAAATGTGGTTTCTTTGTGATAAGAACTGTGTTAACTCAATATAAATATATTTTTTTTATCGCAGTTTTCTTTATCCAACATCTGCGCAACCGCATTTGGATTGATTTGTGGCTTTACGCACTTCAAAACAAATTTCATACACATGTACTTATATTTCGATCTAGCAAGATTACGCATTTCGTTCGCTCACTAAACAAAAGTCCTCACACTTCATGCAATTACTATAAAATGTTCAATATACAAGCATATAAGTATATATGTATATATATGTATGTGATATAACGGCACAATCTTCCTACAACCTTTTAAACTTATTTCTCGGAATTGTAGGCAAGTTTTTGGCTCACACGTACATATGCATGTAGGTGATGGCAAATATGTGTAACTGTGTGTATCTGGTTTGTCGAAGGTTTAATCTCTTCCTCCCAATTACCGATACTCCATTCATATTTGTTTTACATTTTCAATAAATTAACAGCTTAAGCGCCACTTTGTTGCTTTTGGCCTACCGCCGTGTACTGGTTCAATGCTTTTGGTGTGGTAGGTATACATATATACATACATAGTTATGAATTTACGCTCTACTATCGTGGTAGGCATTTCCGGACTATGAAGCGAATTTTTTTTTTGTAAATTCTCACCGATGTGTCATATGTGCCATAAGCATTTTGTGAAAAAAATCATGCCTTGATATTAAAGTAATGCTTGTTTCTGTCCGATAGGTCATATGGAAACATATACAGAAGCAGATAAACGCGGTTTTGATGACACTGTTGTTGTTGGGTTATCTCAAACTTAGAAAATATCCAAAAACATTTAATTGATTCTTGCGTAGGTGTGTCAAATCTATACACATACATACATACATACTATAAGTGAGCCATGAATTTACCATTTGTTGTATTAATTACAAAATGTATGGCTTGGAAGTAAACAACTTTGGCTATATGCAGATTGAAACTTAGAAAACCGAAGAATTGTGACTAAGAACGTTCAATTTCTTAACTTCACCGCCAAAACAAGTAAATTATGTGTCATACTAAATGTACGTCTCAAAGCCACTTGTGAATTTCAGATCTATTTTTTACAAAAACATATTTGAGAATATTCTCCGAAAATTTTATGTTAATCCAGCAAATAACTTCGAAGATATCTACATTTACTGTTATGAGCAAAAAATAGTAAAACTTTGTTCATAATTCCAATATTCCAACGATGCTAGTAAGATCTCTGACTGTTAATCGTCGATTCCCAAGCACCAATTCCTTTATTTTATTGATGTGTTGAATCTCAGTTGAACCAGGTGTCATTCACAGTCATATCGAGCCAGAAAAACAATGTTTCAATTAAAATTAAAAAGTCTTACTATTTTTTGCCCACAGTATAACAGTGAACCAAAAAAAAAATTGTGCAGGTGTATGGTTTGTCATTGAAGTGACTTTTGTAATAAGCTTTTATAAGCTTTGGATTTTCATTCAAAAGTGCGAAACATATTGTTTTATTAATTTTCATAGAATAATTGAAATTTATTTTTAAAAATATAGATTTCTCCAAAAAACAAATGATTGCAAAGTAACTCCATTTTCGAAGACCAAACAAAGGGCGTTGTACACTTTGAATAAATTGACATCTTAACACTTTTTAAATAAAATTCATTCTTTGCATGTCCATATTTGTCCCCTATCATGGTTTGAAGGATTTCATTCATAGAATGCAATAAATTTTGTGTAGGTTCATAAGGCATATTTGCATATATGTATTTCTTAAAGATTCTCATTTTACTATTTCCTTTTCGCTTTCATAACTTTGTCTCCATATAGGCCATATAAGTGTTCTATAGGATTGAGAACTGGACTCAGGTGAATTTGTGGCAGCACTTTTTTCACGTTGTATAACAACAATTCCTTAATAACTAAAGCAGAATGTTTGGTCTCGTTATTCTGAATAGAGCAGAAGCCGCCATTTAAATTACCTTCAGCTGCTGACGAAGTCAAATAATTTATTTACATGGCCTGTAGTCCACTACTTACATAACTCCTTCGATGAAAAGGAAGAAGTCGCTCGACCTTGTAATAGCGATATCGCCTCGATCTATGGACTTTTGAAAAATGCCAAGAAGATCCGATGTTTTCGAACTAAATTTTCTTCAGGCCCATTTCTGGTTAATGAGTAAACAATCAAAATTTCCGCATTTGGGACAAACCTTTGGCCTGTCGATTGGCCACCAAGATCGTGTAATATCATACCTTTAGACTTTATCCTGTGGGAATATATAAAGTCTAAAGTTTATGCGGATAATCTCGCTTCGATTCAGGCATTGAAGCAAAACATCACGCATGTCATTCGCCAGTTATCAGGCGAAACACTAGAACGAGTCATCGAAAATTGGACACAAGGGATAGACTATCTGAGACGTAGACGCGCACAACTTTAGAAAGAGATAATCTTCAAAAAATAAAGGCCAAAGTATGTTCTTTTGAATGATAGTAAGCATTCAACTTAAATTTGAAGTTTCTGTGTTTTTTTTTTTTTTCTGAAAAAAAGTAGGGAAACTCGAAATAGATCATCTTCTATAATATATAGATATGCCTCACACAGAGTCGTTCTCCATTAAATATCATAAAAAAGTCTGATCTTGCTAAAAGTTTTAAATTTATAACCACACAACCATACAAATTTTATTGGGTACTAAGTATTCTGGGGCTTCGCAGAACATTCGAAAAAATCAGTGATTCAAAGATGATTCAAAAGATTTACTGCAATGAACTCAATATACATATAGCAACATACATAAGCAATTTGAAGAAAACATAATAATTCGATCATTTCTTAATGGCCTAAAATAAGCGATGAATAATAACGGTAAAATACAACAAAGAAGGTGTAATACAATATTGAAGCAACTTACAAGGAATAATGATGAAATTAAACCACATATTTCGAAGGAACGACAGACACATTTTCTAGAAAATCTCAATTATAACGGTTAATGTGAAGCACATAAAACTCACATTTGAATTTCGAAAGGGTAATAACAACTCTATTCGAATCGAGATTGCTGCTGTCGAGCAAACAACTTCAATAAGAAAGCAAGCAAACAATGAAGCAAGTGAACTAAAAAGCGCTTGTACGCTTCAAAGTTAAGAGGAACCTATGACGAATGATAAATGACAAGTACACACAAAAATGCCTAAATGCAGGAGCTTGCGTAACAGTTCTCGTTTAAATAAGCTTGTCTTAATTTAAATTACCTGATATCTCTGCCGCATTTGGTTTATATATTTCGTTATTTATTGTCCGACTGCTATTGGGCGATGAGTGATTGGCTATTTGCTGCAGGGCATTGGTACTGGAAGACACAGCCGGCGGTTGGCGCATGGGACGACGCGGTTCGAAGTCACGCAAAGGCGTCGGGTAGGGCGAATCGTAGATGCCTACTGGGCGAAATTGAAGACCACTGGTGGGACCTAAAAGAAAAAAGTAAAGTGTATGTTTATGAATTAAAGTTTTTTTTTTTTTGTAAAATGGATAATGTATGTGTGTTTGTGTGGAAATGATGAGTGGGAATGTAGGAATGTAGGCAAATTATTGGTCACCAATTTTTGTTATTCATAAAATTTAGACACAAATTAAGTGTATGTTTTAGGTCTCGAAACGAAGATGCATAAAATTCGGTCGGTTCCTATCTAAATGTATCATAGTGGATTGTGTTTCCAGTACAGACTCAGAAAAGCTTCATAAATCGACTGATATGCACAATGGCTTTATTAACCAAAAGTTTAACCATTCTATAGAAGGTATGTATATGGAGCCTACGGGCTCTTTTTTTTACCAATTTTTGACATTACCATGTATTACCGAAAGGAACAGATTCTCTCTGACTTGCAGGTTTGAAGTCTTTGTTTCCTTTTCATTAAGAGTGCTTTCTATGTGGCTGGTTGTAAACTCAGCGCACAATCTCGCTAGGCGAATAGTAAAAAGCTATATTACATAACGAGCCGCTTGTTTCAAGACCGCCATCCGCTCGCAGCCGCACCTACATATGTTGAACAAACGCTACAATTAGACTTCAGCGAACCCTTAAACCGAATATGTCGGAGTGGCACCGCTGAAGCCTCCTCCCTTTTAGCCCTGACATTAGGCGGATTGGCTACCGCATCTTATACAAGGGTTAATCTTTACTCTTTTCAAACGTGCGCGGCGCGGACGCTAGATTAAGAATTGGGGATAGTCCTACAACTAAAACCGCTTAGCGGGAAGCATAACTATATCCCGTTAGCCGCTCCTTCAAATCCAATTTTTGATTTAATCTATCTTGGAACCGTTATTAACACCGACTATCACGTCAGACTCGAAGTCCAACTCAGGATCATACTTGCCAACAGGTGCTACTTTAGACTGCGTAGGCAATAGAAATAGAAAATAAAAGTAAGCTCTACAAGTCCCTCTTCATACCCGTCCTGCTATATGGTACGAAAGTATTAACAATAGCATCATCTGATGAGTCGGCCTTAGGACTCGTTCGAGAGAAAAGTTTTGTGGAAGATGTATGGTCCTTTGCGCATTGGCAACACCGAGTACTGCAGTCGATGGAACGATGAGCTGTACGAGATATCCGGCGACATTGACATAGTTCAGCCAATCAAGAGACAGCGACTACGCTGTCTATAGAAAACCTGGCTGTGCTTGGTATTTCAAATTGGCGTCAAATTGCGAAAAAGAAGACGAATGGCACGCTGTTCTTAACGCGGCTACAACCTCGTAAGCGGTGTCCACGCCAGTAAAGAAGAAGACTTCCTGGGTTTTTAATGTACCCCACATACCATCACCAATACATGGTATAGCGAGTAAAGTCAAATGAATTAGGCAAATTTTTCACCCAAGTTGATATATTTTAGGTACAAAGGCACATTAGGTGCAATTCTCCCTCATCTATTTATCTTATCTTAAGTTAGGTATGTGTTATTTGAAAAATATGTCCTCTGAATTTGACTAAGGTAACTCACACATCAGGGGAATATATGCGGTATAAAGTCAACCGGTAGCTCGAAGATATTTTTATTAGGTACATGGGAGCTAAGGGTGGTTTTTGACTTTCTCAAACTTGACATAAGGACATTCTGTTATCATCAGCCAATTTCATTAAGCGATCTGACAAAATAAACGCTTTTTTCGGAAAACAGTCAGTCATAGGCACTAGGGTCCACATATTCGGTATCTGATGACTTGAGGAGTAAACTATGATTCTCACACTTTTTAAAACTTTAAAACATGCGCGAGAACTAAAAATTGTGACGGAGAAAATCGGTAAAAATTGGCGCTTGACTAGTTCATATAGCTATCCTACTAATATAATAATACAATAAAATATTATACTTTTGTCGTCAACTGCAATACACAATATGGCAATTAACATACTTTCAAGGTAATCACACCAATAAGAAACGATAAAATGGCGCATTTAAAAACACGATAGCCAAACACGAGCAGGCAACGTACATATGTAAATACTGTGTACATAGTCGGTGAAGACTTACAAATGCTCTACTAAATTGCACAAACATTTTCGAGCAGAAACTTAATTTAAACGCCGAACAATAAAAAATGAATTCAGTGCAAAACCGCAAGTTTTATTATTTACTTTTTGTGTTTTTTTTTTGTTTAAGAAAACTTCACTCCTGTTGACTGCTCTTCGATTTCTGCAAAGAATGCCAAAGCCTATGTAAAGTGAAATTTTTTTGCTGACACACTGACCCAACATTACGCCGAGTAAGGCTCATATTTCCACAGGTGCATTTATATATAAAATATAGTTTTTGCAAACATATATGTATATGAATGAGTATATATTCTATACTGCAGTGCATATCCGTTACTTGAAATATATATATTAGTGTTTAGTAGTCATAAGTTAAGTAAGGGTTGGCAATGGATATATATATGTATGTATGTATAGTATATAGTGTGCATGCCTTATATACTTTTACGCTTGAAAATTTGATAAAAATCATGCATATGGTCACGCTGTGTGTGCGTGAGCCTTAAGCCCCTTCATTTAACCGATCTAATATTGAAATATTTTGACGTATACGTCACTACTACGCACACACACACATACAAAATACAATGTAATAGCACATTTATATACTTATACTCATAGCTCATTTAAGGGATTATAAAAAGTGTGCATGGAAATTGCATTGGAAATGGCAAAGCGAAAACGATCCTTTGTTGGGTAAGTTTTTTTTTACACTTTTGTTGTCGTTGTTGCTGCTTTGCAATTCCTGCTTGCGTAAATGCTAATTATGCCCTTGTTTTATGCGGTTTTCCGCATTTTTACTTTTCCAGTGCCAGTGTGTATGTGTATTGGCGTGCATGTGTTGGTGTGTGTGCGTGTGGGCAATTTGTAGGTGCAAAGAAAAAACCGTTTGTGTGACCACATGGTTGGCATGCCAAATGTTTTCCAAACAATCAATAATAAGGTGCCAGCGCCTGGACTCAGCTGGATACGGATACGCAACGACGTTGGCTCTTTGAGTAGATAATAATTGTTTACCGTAAATATACTTGACTTGATGCGCTCAAGTGGGAAAAAGTGAGATTTTTTGTGGCTTTTGCCGCACACTTTTTCCCTTTGATATTTCTGTCTTTTGCGAATTGTGAAGGTTTCTTTAATTTTTTTTTTTTTTTTTTTTTTTTTGTTTTTTTTTTTTTTTTTTATTTTTTTTTTTTTTTTTTTTTTTTTTTTTTTTTTTTTGTTTACAATATTTTTGTAATGACGTTGTATATAAATATATACTATATATATAAGTCATACGAGGATAACAATACGTGCGTCAAATATGGATGAGTGGCTTGGGTGAGGTTTTTACAAGCAAATATCTAATAATATGACAAAAAACAATAGCTTTATGTAAATAAGCGGAAATAGAAAAATGTATTGAAGAAATATTGAATGTTCATGAAATATGGTAGTTATATAGAATGGCCTTTATTCAGAGGAATCCTTCAACTCTTAGAAAACATTTACGCAAATAAATTAACACATTCCGATCTAAGCAGAGCAAGTTGCCTATGCCTATCTCATCGGCATTGCAGTTGCCAGCATATCTCCCGTGACCAAGCACTCAAAAGACTGTGATGACGACGTAGCTTGATTCTGTTTCTAGTGAGAATAGGCACTACTTGACTAAATTTATGCGAAAAGTTGGCGAGCTCAGTATTATCGCTGTCGGAGTGAATTTTCACTTCCCTAAAAGAAGCTGCGTTTCGTAGCAGTACGTTTATCGGCACCTCGCCAGAAAAGCTCATTACAAAACACTTCCCTCCAAAATTCCCTTCCAGCTGTGACTCATCTTGGAAAACGTCTCTCTTCCAAGTCTTTCTCCCCATCCACAAAGCCCTTGTCGGTATGTGAGCAGAGAAAAAGTCGCCATATGTGGCCTCTGCAACGCAGTGATCCAAGGAGGAAAGAATTTCGGCATGTTCTTGTTCGGACCCCTGTTGGTGTATTCCGTATAGCACCGAAGGTAGCGATGAGAGATGCTCTTTGAAGTCGCTCAAGCTTTTTAGCAAACTTAGCTTTTTCGAGCACCCTTTTCTAGACGAATACAGCATATACTACGTTTTCGTAGAACTAAAAAACTCATTTGGGAGGAATCCTTACTTTTCCCTATAGACCCTCCACAGCAGGCAGTTAATGTCTTCTTTACTTTCTCCTCCATGAAAACTTTCTATCAAGGATATACCTTAGATATTCCACCGTATCAACAGATTGAAGATGTGAACCCCTGAAAGAGGGGAAGGCACTTTTGGAACCTTACAGCTAATAGCGCTCCATTTCAGGTATACTAATGTTGACAGTTTAGCTTCTTCTATTCGCATAGCGTAGACATTGATTCAATTTTGCAATACCAGAACGCATGCAGAGACATATAATAGGTTGTCAAAAAAGTCTTGCGGTAGTTTTATTGAATTTTCAATTGTTCATAAACTTTTTTTTTGATGACTCCGGCCGGTCTCTTTCGACCAATTCAGCGCTTTTATCGCAATTTTCGACGACAGTCCTGCCGGAGCGTGGCGCATCTTCGACCACCTCTACACCAGAACGAAAACGTTGAAACCATCGTTTTGCGGTGGAAATGGAAACTGTATCGGGTCCATAAACTGCACAAATTTTATTGGCGGCTTGAGATGCATTTTTGCCTTTATCGTAGTAGTACTGTAAAATATGCCGTATTTTCTCTTTATTTTGCTCCATGTTTGCGACGTTATAACTCACGAACGACTTAAAAGAAACGACAATCAATCAAACACGTGAGCTTTCCAAAAAGATATAGCATGACTCGATGCAATGAATAAAACTAGAACTACGAGCTCTCAGTGCCAACTAGTGAAAATATCGCAAGACTTTTTTGACAACCTTTGCTTATTTGGAACAATAATCTATACTTCCAATAGGACTTCTACATTTGCCTTAAAGAGCTACTACATCTATCAATAATCTCCCATTCCAATAAAGCTGTCTTATAATTCGGAAAAACGAATTTAGTGTCTTTAGACTTATCCAAGTCTTCAACGTCAATGAACAGTTGATCAATTCTTAGTATATGTATATATGGGAACTTTTCAATGTGCTATTAGTACACTACACCTATAAGTACATCATCCTACGAGTATTCTATAAAATTGAAATGTATGAACAGTTTTTCTCAACATTCCTAGAAATTAAATCCAAAACTGCTATGCTTCAGGTCACATACTCGAACTGTTCTTTGTATTGACTTCTTAAATGCTTCTCCTATTCTTATATTATACCCTCAATGAGTTTTTTAACTTGCCCTATCCACTGAGCTGAATTGATATGGATGGATTGTTGTTGATCTGATGAAACTCTCACCATTATTCATTAAGGGATCATCACAATCGCTCTGCTCTGGCGTTGCGGTTGTTCGTAGGTATTTTACGGCCTGTGATTGTGAGTCCAGTATTTGCAACTTGTATAAAGCATGTTTGGAACTATGTGGAGTAGTAGTAGTTTTGGTAGTGGTAGTAGTAGTAGTAGTAGTAGTAGTGATAGAGAAGGAAGAATATCTACGTGTCATTTGTGCCTTTCTAGTCGCCACCAAACGCCCGCCACGGCCAGCAACATCGAACTTACTTGTCTTGGAGCGCGGTTCACGCGGACCATCAACGGTGACTTTTATAGCTTTGGCATAGGTGGCCACCTGTATTGGACTCGTATGTACGGTGATGGTAAGCGTAAAGCTTTTACCTGAAAATATACAAAAACAAAAACAACAAACATATATAAATTTGTGTCGAAATAAAGTTTAGGCTTATTCAATTAAAGTGGCTTAAAGGGGCTTTGAAAGAAAAAACAACAACATACAATGTTAAAATATCTGACGCCGTTGCGTTCCGAAAGCACAATGCGAACGTAAATCTTCGACAATGTGGCAATATGTCAATCGTGTGACATGCAAATGGATTTAGCAGCTGAGCAGCGATGTTAAGACTACAGCAAGCTGCAACTGGCTGCCGCATGCACGAGTACGTGGCGATTCGACTGGCTTTAACGACCGCCAATCGGCAGTCGGTGCCTTTGTTGAGCAACACCAACATCCTGAAGGAATAACGCGACGCCCCGCCCCGCACCGCCTCGCACTTTTGTGATGGGTAAATTAATTTAAAGTGATCATAACACGCGCCGTAACAGCTGGCGGCATTGCTTGAAGCTGCAAAGTGGAGCATTTAATTGCCGAAAAGAAGCTCGCAGAGGGTGTGAAATGATTTTAAGGACTTTTTAGCGTGATTGGCAATGTTTTTGACAGCAACTAAATGGGAAAATGATGAATTATGGGTGAGAAAATTGTGCATACAAAGTTCGACGTTACTGGGTCAACAAGCGTCAGTGGCATGTTCATGTGCAAAGGTGTTGAAGGGTCTCAAATGTATGTACGTGTTAACGGTAATATTAATGTATTTTATTGTTTTAGAAATTTCTTGAAAAAATTTTGTACCCAAATTTTTACGAACTTTGACCTTAATTTTGTTTTCAGCTTGAAATAAATGGCTGACCACTCGATTGGACGGATCTCCAACAAGCGCTGTTAACAATTTAATGCATTTACTAGCTACTTAACCAAAGTCTTAAGGGTTGATGAGAGTAAAAAAAAAAAAAACAACGATCCCCAGAATCTTTGTCGATCGTGGAGAGTTTTTTGACAATGGCAAGCCGAGGATTCGCAATGCAGTCGCTTTTTGTATCAAAATATCCATATAAACTTTTCATACTCATAAATAACATATATTTATTTATTTTACTTTAACCATTGGCGATTCATTTTGAAAAATTTTGAATTTTTTTGATACCGCAGCCAATCTCCATGAGGATATCTGACAACATACGAGGTGATGAGGAAGATTATTTTGCTTAAAACTACTTTAAACCCAAAAACCAAAAAAATTATGCATCGGTAGAGAAATATAGGCATTGATCGAAGGTCTAATCAAATTTTTTTTTTTTTTTTTTTGCAAAATTGTGATAAAAAAAGTACACGGGAATTGGAAATAAAACGCCAAATATTTTATTATTCATCAACACTTATTTTGTCGCCTTCAAAGTAATCGCCACCAGATACAATATAATACCCTTGTGTCAACGATTTTTTCAGTGCTTGCATCACTTTTCTTAAGCACTTTCTGGGATGGCCTTCAGCTCCTTCAGCGAATTTTGTTTTATCTCTTCAATCTGCTAAAAACGGGTTCCACGCAGCACCAATTTCAGTTTGGGGAACAAGAAAAAATCACACCGCGCCAAATCTGCGGAATACGCCAGTTGATTGATTTTATTCATTGCGTTTTTGGCTTTAAATTCGGTCACAATCGTGGCTTGATGTGTGGCATGAATTGTTCTTCCACAATTCCGGCTCTTTTCGACAGATGTTCTCTCGTAAATGCCTCAATACGGCCAAATAGAACTCTTTATTGAACGTCTGTCCCTCCCGAATAAATTCATGATGCAGCAATTCACGAATATCGAACAAACAATGAGCATCACCTTGATTTTTGAGCGTATTTGGCTCGTTTTTTTCTTGTCCTCTCTCTAACACTTCCCTGATGATTTTCAATCATCAATATTTTCACCAGTTAAAGATGTCGAAGGCCGTCCAGAACCAGGCATGCCTTCAATGATCCCTCGACCGTCTTTAAAGACTTTATACCATTCGCAGGCCTATGTTTTCGATAAAACTGATTCAACGTAAGCCTTTTTCAACATTCGCGATGTTTCCGCACCCGAATTCTGATTAGAAGTCTAAAATTTTAGACAATTTGTTGTTCGATATTTTTATCCATCGTAAAAATCGCAACGCAGTACTGAGATGTACCAACTTAAGCTCTAAACAAACTGGTTAACAGATCGAGCCTATATTTGGCATAGTAATTAAGGACAGTCTTATCAACAAAGCAAAATACATTTTTTTGAAATATCATTTCCACGGGCAATTTTATTAAAATTCCCGGGTACTTTTTTGTCACAATGTAAGTACATTCGATAAATAAGCACAAAAAAACTATCGATTCAATTTTCTTTCTCAGAAAATATTTCCAAAGCAACAGAAATCCAGTAGTTAAGCCAATCTTTTTTTCAAATTAAAACTCCCGCATTTAATACCTAAGAGGCAGTAAACAAAGCAACTAATTGCATGGAGCAAGCCAAATTACCAACGAAGCATTATTGAGGCATTTTAACGAGCACAATAAAGTTATTTACTACGCACATTTGCAACTGGCACGGGTCCATTCTAATAGCCCAAACATTTTCGAAGCTATCAACGGTAACATTTGAAAGCGTGTGTGGACGAGTCGATTGATGAAGTAAAAGCAAATAACGCCGAATCGCGTTTGAAAGTGCAATTAATAAAAATTATAGGTAAATAAATCAAGCTCGCTACATGCAGACATATGTACATACATAGGTGTAATACATACAAGATGTAGTAGGCGCATAGAGCCACTACAATGTCTCGAACATAAGAAAAATTGGAAAAGCGAAAAGAATTATTTTCAAAATTCGTAGCATTGTCCTAACAATGAAAATATTATTATGATGAACTTACAAGCTTACATACATAGATATGTATATAGATCATGTACAATATATGTATGCTCCAAATTGTGTGTGTCTGATACCCATTTGCTTGCGATATTCATCAAAACAAAACAAAAGCGAAGATCAATGCTTACGCAGACTTTGGAATAGAGACAACAAAAAATCATTCCAGAAAGTTAATAATCTAAATTAGTCATTCAGCGCCGACGCCGCCAACCATCATCAATGGTGCATTGTAGCAGTGAAGCAATTCAGCGCTCTCAGAGCCGAATAATAAAGGAGCGTGCGAGCGGAAAATAAAACAAAGGAGGTAAAGTATTTATGTATATAGAGCATATGTATGCATGTGTGTAACTACATATAAGTATATGAAATACTCGTATGCCCATCAAATGTGGAGTTAAAAATCAGTTCAGCAGATAAATCAGTGCGTCGACACCACTTTACAACTTCACCTTGTTGTTGTTGCACATTTTGTTTCATGTCATAGGGCAAGGTTGATTATCGCTTTTCAGTTTTGGCTTTTTGGTGGGGTGTTTGCCTTTTGAGTTTTATTTAGTTGTCGCAGCTCAAAGCCGCTTATTGATGACGCGTGTCAGCAGGCTCTCAAGCGCTCATTATAAGTGTAAGTACCGGCTATCAAAAAACAAAAACAAAACAGACAATGATACGCACACTTATCGCAACTATGCTTTCTTCTGCTTGAAAAGAGAGTTTCTGCAATCTATACACAAGTCAAGTTGAGCTGAGTGCAAACAAATTGAATTCATTAATCTTGTTAAGTTTTCGGTATTTCAAGCAGCGCTCAAAAACTCATTCACACAGCTAGACGCATACATACATATAAATATATATTTTATGTACTAGAGTGTGTGCATGTTAACTCGCTGCTTTGCTTGGTGACGAGTTGATGAAAGTATGCAGCCGCTAATGAGGACTTTGAGCATATTAGTCAAATATTTGACAAAATGATATTTCAGCAAAAGGATTAAGATTATCAAACAAATTGCGAAAGCAAAACATATTTTCTTTACAGACTGGCAGTGAAATTTACTGCAGAGAATCGAAAATTATTTTACTTAATATGAACGTCATTGGATAAAGTTTGGTGACATCAAAAGAGTAATAACCAGCGTTGCAAAATATAATACTATTGAATTTCTAAAAAAATAATATAAAAATTAAAAAAAAATAATATAAAAATTTTAAAAATTATTAAAAATATATTTATATAATTTTTTTTTATCATAATTCCGAAAATTCTTAATTTTCAAATTTCAAAAACCAAGCACCGCATTGAAAAATTGAAAACCAATTTTAATTCCAAAAGTAAATTAAAAATTTTAATCCCACATACCGGTTTGAAAAATAAAAAGTGTTAAATCCAAGTTTATAACGATTTTCAATAGACACGCTACAAAAGTAGACCGATAGCGACAGCAAATGACGCCATACTTTACCCGCTCTTTTGATACTTCTCTTCAGTAAAGCTTGCCATTTCATCATGGGAAGATATACGCTCCAACAACGAGTCGAAATTATTAAAATTTCCTACCGAAATTCGGAGTCAGTGGCCTCAACTTTAAGAACACTATGTCCAATTTATGGTCGTCATAATCGTCCTGCGAGATCAACAATGGAGCGCTGAGTGGAAAAATTTTAATCCCCAGGCAGAGTACAAAAGACAAAGAAGTGCCCGTAGTGTCGAGAATATTGCTGCCGCTAACACATCAATTGAGGAAGACCCAAATGAGTCTCTCACACGTCGTTCTCAAGCGTTGGGCATCTCTGTGACCTCGTTAGGGCGAATTTTGAAAAAAGATATTGGCCTACATCCTTACAAGTTCAAATGGACGCAAGAACTGAAGCCGCTTGACCACCCGAATCGTCGTATTTTCATGAATTAAACTGAGCAACAACTTGAAAATGTTCCGGATTTTCATCGAAAGATCATCTTCAGCGATGAGGCTCATTTCTGACTAAATGGCGTAATCGATAAGCAAAATATGCGTTACTGGTCAGGCAGCAATCCACACGTACTCCATGAGTCACCATTGCATCCCGACGACGTCACACAACCGGCACGTTACTGCTACCGCTCAATGACAACCGAATATTTTTGGCCCGAATTAGATGATATGGACTTGGACAATATGTGG